AGACCCTTTCTGAAGAAGGGTCTAGGCCCGAAACGTCAGCTTTCCTGCTTCTCTGATGCTGCTTGGCCTGTTGTGTTCATCCAGCTCTACACCTTGTTATCTCTAATATTTTCTGCAATTGTACTTATAAATAAATAATGCTTTTTTCACATGTTTTGCAAACAAATGTGGAGGCAAAACATCATGATTGCAAAAGTTGACAACCCTGAAAATAGGTGTGAGAATTGTAATGCGCGACTAAACTAGGCACATTGTTTCTAATGAGGGTAAACATGTTACTGCCAACTGATTGTGGAGTCAGTGATAAGTGCAATACGTGCTGTTGGAAGGCTGCATACCTAAACAGATGCAGCAAAGTTGTGAGAGGTCAGAATGAGTTCAAGCTAGCGAGTATTTAGAGTCATAGATTCATACAGCACGGAAACAGACCCCACCCCAGTCCAACTAGTCCATGCCGAACATAATCCTAAACTAAGCTAGTCCCACCTTCCTGCTCCTGGCCCATATCCCTCCAAACCTTTCTTACTCATGTGTCTATCCAAATGTCTTATAAACATTGTAATTGTATCCACATCGACCACTTACTTAGGAAGTTCATTCCACATGAGAACAACCCTCTGTGTAATAAATTTGCCTCTCATGTTTTTTTAAATCTCTCTCCTGTCACCTTAAAAATGTGCCCCCTAATCTTTAAATCCCCAATCCTCGGGAAAAGGCAACTATCATTAACTCTATCTATACCTCTCATTATTTTATGAACTTCTATCAGGTCGCCTCTCAACCTCCTACATTCCAGTGAAAAAGGTCCCAGCCTATCCAGCTTTTCTTTATTACCTTCCATACCTGGCAACATCCTGGTAAATCTCATCTGAACCCTCTATAGTCTTCCTATAACTAGGCAACCAGCACTGGACACAGTATTCCAGACGAGGCCTCACCAATATCCTGTATAACCTCAACATAACGTCCCAACTCCTATATTCAAAGGACTGAACAATGAAGGCAAGTGTGCCAAATGCCTTTTTTATCACTTTGTCGCTATGTGATGCAAACTTCAAAAAATTATGTACATGCAGCCCTAGGTCCCTTTGTTTTACAACACGACCTAACGACCTACTATTAATTGTATAAGCCCTACCCTTGTTTGTTGTACCAAAATGCAATACCTCACATTTATCCAGATTGAACTCCATCTTCCATTTTTCAGCCCAGTGACCCATTTGATCAAGATCCCTTTGTAATCTTAGAAAACGTTCTTCACTGTCTACCTGCCACCAATTTTAGTGTCATCCACAAACTTACTAACCATGCCTTCTATACTCTCATCCAAATCATTTATATAAAACGACAAACAAAAGAGGATCCAGAATCCCCATGAAACACTGCTGTTG